ACGTATGTTAACAACAATCACTCAACTTAACGCAGCTTTGTAACTTAACGCGAAAATGTCGCCTCTCTCAACGCGTGTAATTGATAGACGAAAGGAAGCGAGTTTTTTTTGGGTAAGCCATGGATCACAACACAACACATTGTGATTCATCGAAGTCATTTACGACCATCAAGGGCGATGTTCAAAATGGCAAGATTGTTTGTTTCTTACACAATATTCTGTTTTTGAATTTTTCCTCTTTTCTGCTTGCTTTTCTAGATTTTGCTGGACTGGAATAACCCTTTTTGGAAGAACGATGAGACTCAAGGTCTAAAGTCTGATCCTCAATAACAAAAAATTTTTTAGAAAAACCTTTACGATTTTGGTGGCAGTTTTTGACAATTTCTTAAATATTTGCATCACGTACGAAGAAAAAATTTTTTTCACAGATATATTTGGTTGTGTTTGTGTAGCGAACGCGTACGAACGCATTCTGTAAAACGAGTTTAAAATCCCACAGTGAAAAGTCATCGTTAGTTAAAAATGTGCAGGTTAACCTAACCTACAGGTTAGGTTGGGATTAGTTTACAAATTTGTAGGTAAGGTTAAGAACCCGGCAAGTTAGGTTAGCTTAAGGGTACCATGCCTGAAGAGTGGGGTGGACAAAGTTAAAAGCTTATATCCAGAAGGTTGTTATCAAGCGTAGAAAAGATGTACTTTTTTTTGTTTTTGTTTGAAATTAAAAGTCAGACAATATTTTTTTCTCAAGTAAAAGCTTTCAAAAAGAAAGTGAGAGAATAGTCATATGGTGACTGACTCATTCGTTTTTTTATACTATGTTGGGTCCTGATGATAAATGTCTGGCTGCTGATTTAATGGGGATCATACCAAGAACAAGTAGATATTTGTTTGCTGCTATGCATAAACTCACATCATCGTCTCCGTCCATACAATATCAAGTACGTGTGAGTTATTTAGAAGTATATAACGGTCGTGTTTATGATTTACTAAGAAAGAATGATAATAAAAGTAACAACAAGCTGCATTCTCTGAGCATTCGTGAAGACACCAGAGTAATATAAATGTTACGGATGCAGTAGAAATACCTGTACATAATAGTTTAGAATTAGAGAATATATTAATGCAAGGTAATCAAAGACGTGCAATTGAATTTACATGTATGAATTCGTCATCATCAACAAGTCATGCTTTATTAATTATATGGATAGAAAGAAGAGAACGATCAACATGATCATTATCCAGAGAATATACATCTTATATAGGTCGCTTAAATTTGATTGATTTAGCCGGTAGCGAAGTTATTTCACGTTCAAAAGCTGAAGGTGACAGATTTCGTGAAGCGGTTAATATTAATACTGAATTATTACAATTAAGAAGAGTATTAGATGCACTGTCAGCATCTTCATCCTATATTCCTTACAGGGATTCAACCTTAACCCGTTTACTTCAATCATCATTATCAACAACACAGTCCATCACAATATTAATCTCTCATATTAGTGACATAATGTTCGGTAATTACAATGATATAGTGCAATGTTTTTATCGTCGTACAGTTTATATTCATACACCTTCTTATGGGAAAATATTTGCTCGATTACCAGGACATAGGTATGATGGTAGCATAAGATTTTGCTTCGATCTGGAAATACGTTGTAGAAAGACGAGAAATGTTTGCCACCGCGGCCATCGTCAATGAATGTTGCGTAGTCACCTGTTAGAAATATTTCTGTCCATTTATGAGCTATTTCACATCGATAACCACCAATGTTTCGAAGAATATCATCAATAAATCGCCAATCATGGCTCACGTGGCGCATAATCATGCAGACTAGAGTAGTTAACTTGCGTGAACCACATTCTTTCTTGCAGAGTTCAAAAAGATCTCCGATTGAAGCGGTGTCAATTTTATCTCGTAACGTCATATCATCAAGGATAAAATCGCAATCATTGTCATCAACGTCGTCGTGATTGTCAGTTTCCATGATATCAATATCGGTTTCATTATAAAGTTCATCTTCGATAGATAATTTCTGCCTGGGCATGTTGGAAGATAGTGTGCGTTTCCAACGAGTAAAGTGAATATAGTTCCTAAAGTCTTATTTATCGTTGGATTTTCTCATACCCCTATAAGACTCAATAGAGTCTTGTAAGTCAATGCATGATAATCTACAGTATAATTTACCTATATAAGAAACTGATAAGATTCAGAATCTTATAGGAAGGATATAATACAATTCCATCTCATTCTTCAGTGATCAGTTATATTCTACTTTCTTACTATAATCTACTGTTTCATATGTGAATAAAATAATTTCCTTTTCACTTATTTATTTTTTCTATAATGAGACCTTAGTCCCACGTGGACAGTCTTATGACTCTTTCTCATTGTAGATCGGATTTAGTTCTCCAATTCTATCATAACTATGGGATGAAAATGAAGTACGAAAAATAAAATTATGTAAGACGAGAATGCAGGACACGACATGTTTGTTGTTTGGATAAATTCCACTTTTTCAAACTGATCTCTAGAAAAATTCGCTACTTGAGAACCATTTTTTATGAAGATCGGATTCAGTTCGGACTCTCTAAGTCGTAGAAAATAGAGCAGCTTGAATACTACTAATATATATCAAAACTTGTTTCATACCTGTTTTAATAAAGCACTAGGAGCATCATAAAAAAACTTCATGTACAGTTACTAACATGACTCATCATTCAATAATCAGTGGTCAAAGAAAAGAATTTCTGGATTGATCGCAATAGAAAGTGTATCTTAGAAAACATTTTAATGAGTTGTTTCTAGCAAAATATAACTCTCTCAGTATAATTCTGACAAAGTTCTAGTGATTCTATATACGAATTCATAGCATTTGACAGGTTCCTAAACGATTTCCTATGTTTCGTGGGATGCTGTATGTTGCACGGTTACCCATTTAGTTTGCATATAGTCAAACGCTTTAATTGATGTAAATAAAAGTTCGTATGTTAACTTATCAAAATCTTATGAATTCTTATAAAATAATTATACATGCCAGCTTATCGAGATCTTATCATAATCTTATACAAATCTTATAAGAATCTTATCAATATCTTACGCATTTCCATCGACTGCCTGATATAAGATTCCTATAAGATTTGTATAGAATTGCCGTAAGATCGATCGACTAGGGTGACATATATGTCGTTCGTGAAGCAACAGCTTTTGGCCTACATCTTTAAAGGAGGACTGACCGGCTTGTCCACGTAACTCCGCTGGCAGAGATGTCATAGCGTTACCTTTTTCGCTCATTTTGTTTTGAGCATAGTTCCGTCATAAAACGTCTTAGAGAGCTCGAAAACATCTCAAATTGAAGAAAAAATTGTTTTAAAGATTTTGAGATTGTTCCTCTCCTGAAAAATGTTTTCTTAAAAATCTATATGCAAAATGGTGAGACCGACTACTTTTTTACGAAAAAAATCAGAAATGTAGCTCGCCACATTTTCATCTTAGTTTTTCGAAGAAACACTTTTCAGGGGGCGGATAGATCTCAAAATCTTTAAAACAATTTTTTCTCTCTAGAATGTTTCATGACAGAGTTTTGCTCAAAACAAAATGAGCAAAAACGGTAACGCTATGACATCTCTACCAGCGGAGTTATGTGAACAAGCCGTGACCATTCATAGTGATGTTTTTTTTCTTCTTACCTTTCTCATCTCTAAATGCGATCATATGTTGTGTGTTACCAACAGAAAAGGAAAAGGTTTATTTTTATTCAAATGAAAAAATGTACATGGACTCTGCCCATAACGATGTCATAATGAATTCGTTCAGAATAATAGCCAACATGATTTTCGGCATCGAACTGTTTGTAGTAGTATCCTATTAAAGTTACAGTAGATACTTCAACAGAATCTATATTTTTCTAAATGTAGTGGTACTCCTAGGACGAACACAACAATCTAGAGCAATGTTTATATACTTTTTTTCAGTATTTAATTTTCTGTTACGAAAGATAAGAATGATAGAACAGAAAAAAGAAATAGTAAAACAATAATCTTCCATTATATCCCTTTACCCCCTCTTGGTCACTGGAGTGACTATTTGTAGATCGATGGCAAAAAATTAAGAAAGCATGGAATTTAAAAACTTTGGGAAGATGTCTTGTGGCGAACTCTATAAGCTATCGACTGATAAAGAAATATTTTGTTACAGTGTTTTGTCTCCGAAAAAGATGAATTACAAAATCGATGACTTTTAAAAAATCACAAAAATTGGATTTTTTTCGAAAATATTT